GGGGGCTGTGGGCTGGGAGTGAGGAACACCAGTAGGGCTGGGGGTGGGGGGCTGTGGGCCAGGAATGAGGGGCATTGCCAGGACCGGGAGGCAAAGACCTGTGGGTTGTGAGTGAGGGACACCACCTGGGCTGGGGAGGCACCGGGTTGTGGGCTGTGAGGGGCACAAGCAAGGCTGTGGGGGCAAGGCTTTGTGGGCTGGGAGTGAGAGTCACTGGCAGTGCTGGGGGGACAGGCTGTTGAGGGTCAGGAGTGAGGGGCACCAACAGGGCTGGACTGGGGGGGGAGGGGATGTGGGTTGGAAGGGAGGAGCCATGCTGAGAAAATGGGGTCATAAAATGAGGTCATGCTGAAGAAATGGTTGGGAAGCACTGCTGTAGGCCCAAACTCTCCTAGAGGCCCCAAAGAGATTTTTAAAAAGCGTGTGGGCTGGATATTTTATTTTATCCCAACCTTCTATAGGTGGCTGCATTTGAAGTGTTAAATCTGTTTTGTGAGATTTTTTAACTTAAGTTTATGGTTTGAAGTGTTGATATCAGCAAACTGTCCTATTAATTACGTATATAGAAACCAAAACTTCATGCAACATAATTATATCAGGACAGACATACATATCTTGGGATTTATTATACGACCTTCTTTCTTGCTTCATTTAACTTTGTTTAGATAATCTTTCATAACAAAGTAAAAAAAATCCCCATTTGTTTTTTACACATGTTGCTCTTTATCAGTTGTCTCTGCCATTCTCAGATAAAACATGCTAACTCTTAGCCTAGAGCAGGGGCGGGCAATTATTTTGGGTGGAGGGCCACTTACTGAGTTTTGGCAAGCCATCGAGGGCTGCATGACAGGTAGCCAGGGGCAGATAAATATTAATTTTCTGAATTTTGGGGGGCCCTGCGGGCCAGATAGCATGGCCTGGTGGGCCGCATCCAGCCTGCGGGCCACATTTTGCCCACCCCTGGCCTAGAGCATCCTCAAAGCCTGAGGATACCTCATTCTTGGATAGGAGGCTCAAAAATTGTAAAAGTTAATAGGACAAAGCTTCTGTCTACAAGCCTTTTTTGACCTAGTTTGTTTTACTATCAATGCCTTTCTTTCAGAGGCATGACAAGCATGGTTTGCACCTTGGGCAAGCCCTGTGTGAGAGCAGAGGGTGGAGCAGGGAGGTGCCATTGAGCCGCAGAGGGGCAGGGTTTCTGAGGGCAGGAAGCAGTGGTGGGCACAAGAGTCTTACCTCATCAGCAGCAGCAATCCCTTGCAGTTGAGGATGATTGTCTTCCATGATTACCTTATTTGTGGGTTCAGAGCTGGCTAACAAGGGCAATCTGTGATTGACAAGTTTTATTGCAACTCAAGAACATTATCTCCGTGCAGGATGGGTGGCTCTGGATTACTGGTTTGTTCTGTGACATGCTGTTTCTATCACTCCTGGTTTTCCATCTCCTGTTATAATTGTGAGGTACTAAGATCCTGGCAGCAGACTCTTCCTCCATTTGGGGCAGTCCTGGGTTGATGTCGATGCTGCATTTTTTCAAGTTGGCCCTAAGGATGTCCTTGAAGCATTTTCTCTGCCCTTCTCTTGACTGTACACCGTGACTAAGCTGGGAGAATAAAACTTGCCTTAGGAGTCCGGAGATGGACATCTGGATGATGTGGCCGGCCCAGCGAAGTTAATGGTGAATGATAACCACCTTGGTGTTGTTTGCTTGTGAAAAGATGCTAATGTTGTGTGCATCGGTCTTCCCACTGGATTCAAAGGATCTTCTGCAGGCTGCATTGATGGTACTTCTCCAGTGATTTGAGGCATCTCTTATATGTTGTCCATGCCTCAGCTGTATACAGTAAGGTAGGGATCATGGCTGCTTGATAAACCATGAGCTTGGTCTTGAATCTGATGTTGCAACCTTCGAACATCCATTTGGCACAAAATGGCCGCACTTGCACATTTGAAGTGACGCTGGATTCCTTTGTCGATGTCAGCCTTCTGCAAGAGATGGCTTCCAACGTATGGAAAATACTCAAAGTTCTCCAGAGTCTCACTGTGAATCTGAATGACCAGTGCTGGGGACTACTCATTGAGAGCTTGTTAATGATGGAGGACCTTAGTCTTCTGAATGTTAAGCGTCAGTCCCATTTTCTCATGTGCATCAGTAAAGACGTTGACAATTGCCTGAAGATCTACTTCTGAGTGAGCACACACTACAGCATCATCAGCATACTGGTGCTCGATGATTGAGGTCAGGCTAGTTTTGGTTTTGGCTCAGAGTCAACTGAAATTAAATAGTTTACCGTCCATTTGGCAGATTAACTCCACTCTGACTAGAAGCTTGTTGGTGTTCAAATGTAGTATCATGGTAAGGAATATTAAGAAGAGTGTTAGAGCAATGCTGTAGCCTTGCTTAACTCCAGTCTTAACCTCAAAGGGATCTGTGATATTTGTTACTGAGAACCACCGTGGAGCAGGTGAAGAATGCTAATGAATTTCAGTGGGCATCTGTACCTCAGAAAGATCTTTCACACACAGCACTTCTCGACTAACAGAGTTGAAGGCTTCGTGAGGCCAAAGGGGTACCTATATATGAGTGTGGAAGTTGCTCCAACATGCTGGAACTCCAGCACATCGGATCAGACTTAATTAATCAAGTCTGCTGGAGCATGACAATTACCAGACTCCAGCAGCCTCCTGTCTTGTGTATCAGCACTCCCACACATTGAATGAGCTTTAGTTCAAGCACCTCAACTACCATTTTTAAGTGCGGAGATGCTGATACATGAGATGTGGCAGTGCTTTAGAGCCATTGGATATGTATAGACAAAAAGGGGGCCTTAAGTTGAAGCGGTAGGTTTTTAAAAACACCACTTCAATTTAGGGCCATTTAAACCTCCGTGTCATGTACACACCCGAACTTACCTGCCTCTCTGGCAGTGGGGAGGGGAGAGTGAGCTGCCGGCAGACGGAGTGGCCCTGGGCTGTGGGGGGGAGCTGGTGCTTCCCTCCGTGGCAGCAGCGGCCCCCCCACCCAGGTGGCACCCACCCCTAGGCACCCAGCTCAGGTGGTCCCAGGGGGCACTGCAGCTGCAGAAGGAAGCACCAGGCCCCCGCACAACTCAGACAGGCAGGCAGGTTCCAAGGGAAAAAAAAAGATCAGGCTTGCTGCTTTTCTTGGGCAGAGCCTGCCTTCCCAGGCTGCTGCCAGGCTGCCTGCATGGGCTTCTTGCAGCGCCTCTGAGCTGCACAGAGCCTGATGCTTTGCTCCACAGCGGTAGGGCTGCAAACTAAAACTCCTTGGAGTTGAAGGAGGAGTTTTAGTTTGCTGCCCTACAGCAAACTAAAAATGAAAGAAAGAAATTTCTAGTGGTTCATCATTAAGTACTTGGAAGGTACTCAGGTACTCCACTGATGAGGGCCATATGAGTATGGAGTTTTAGTTTGATGCGCCCCAAGTCATTTAAGGCGTATTACACCACTGAATTTGCTACAGCGGCTGGAATTACTGCACAATACACCGCTGACACATACAAACACCAACACCATTAATGCAGTGCAAAAGCATTTAACTCACTTTAAAGTGTTGTGCACACATGCCCCTCATTTCATCTACGCACAGCTATTCTAATTAAAGCACGCCCCCCTCCCCACCCACCCTCAAAACACATATAAAAGTGCCCATGGAGAGATTTGTGTTGTTCCTGGCATTTTTTCCTGCAGCTGGTGAGCAGTGAAGATCATGTTAGTTGTGTCTCTTTATGCCCTGAACCCACACCGAGATTCCAGGAGCACCTCTTCAGCAAGTGGAAGGAGATGGTTCAGGATGATCCTCACAATGATCTTTCCGGTGGTGGACAGCAATGTGATCCCTCCATAATTCTACAAGCTGGCAGAGCTCCAGTCAGTCTTTTCTTTAAGATTGTCATGATCATGGCATCCCTGGGGTCATCTGGGATTTCCTCATCATTCCAGATCCTTAAGATGAAGGCATGGAGCTGTGACGTAAGCTCTTTTCCCCCATGCTTAAAAAGTTCAGCAGGGATTCCATCTGCTCCAGATAACCTGTTGTTCTGCTTAATGGCTTCCCTTACCTTGTCAAAGGTTGAAGGGACTCTGAGATTTTCTCTGACTGGAACTCTGCCAGTTTGCAGCTAACTGCAAAATCCACAGGTTTCTCCATTAAAATGAGATATCTGCATTTTCCTTGGGTAAAGGGGGAAAGTCACATTTTTCTTCATTTTCCCGTGGGAAATGGAAAACCCAGATCCCTGCATATGAGAATGAGAAACTCATAGGTTTGTTTGTTTAAAGAATGTTGGCATATTGTGAATAGAATTATTCCAAACACACCAAAAAAGGGATGTTGCTTTTGAATCAATTAATTACATTTCATAAATTTTCATTTAGAAACAAAAATGTACCTTGATTATAAAATTCTGGTAAAATTCTCAGGCCTATTTAAGGTATTACATTTTTCAAAGCAGCAGCAAGTTTTCAGAGGCTGGCTTTGCTCTTGTTGCTCAGTAGGGTATACAGTAGCAGCCTGCCCCGCAACAAGTTAGCCTTGATGTTCTATCCAGGTTTACTCTGGAAAAGAAAAAACAACCATAATTAAGATCAGTGACTGGAATCTTCCCATTATAACAGAAGTTTTAGCCATAAAAACTAAGGTAGATCCTATTTTCATTTAATGAAATCTACTATTTAGATACTCATATAAAGTATCTGAGTACCTTCCAAATACTTAATGATGAACCACTAGAAATTTCTTTCTTTCATCCTAGGCTATAGAAAGAAGGGCTTTGTTTCCTTGCAAATCCTCGTGTGAAGTTTTCAGAAAGTCATAACTTGATACACCTTGTTCATGTGCATATTCCTTGTATTAAGATAATTGTCATGCCAATTTAGCTATACATAACAATGCAACATTAGTTTCAACTCCCAACAACCACCCCCAACAACAGCACAGGATAGCGTGTTTTCATACACAGTGTACACTATGAAGATGAAGGGCATTTGCACACACTCCCTCAAATTCATGTTTAGAGGTAAAGTAAACATGGAAAGCCTACTCCAAATTGGGATTAATCGGGGCACAAGGAGGAGGGATAAATTATAAACACAGAAAAGAGGTGTTATCTCCCAAAATATCTTGCAGCTTTTAATTACTATGTTTTGCTACCCAGCAAATTATACTATAAGGCATATTAGAATGAACACACAAGATGGCATCCACACATAATAAATAAGAGGAGGCATTAAATGGCACATTGGATGGAAATAAATTATACAGAGGTTGGAAAAGCAACACTGATCCCCATCTTGAAGAGAAATTAAACTGGAAATTATTAGTAAGCAGAAAATAGGTATCTTTCAAATTTGCTAGATGCACCAGGGTGCTCTATGCCCATAAACACACATACTTTGGGAACAGCTCAGATTACCAAGCATTTGGCTGAAGGAACAAACAGCAATAGAAATGATTGTAGGGAGGAGGCATGGGTACTTGCCTGAAAGACTGTTGGCACTGTTGACAGATCCAATGAGTCTTCAAGGCAAGATGTGTTTCTAAAGTGCTCACTATGCCAAATGGAATATAAAGCTTTGGTTCATCCACTATTGTGCAATTCTACCCTTGTGCTTTAATCAAATTTCCCTGAATGAAAAGGAAAATCTTTTAAAGAAACCCATATTTCCAAAATCTAAATCAAAGTACCACGTGTAGCACTTGTTGGGAGCAGAAACCACTGCACTCAGGCAGGGAGCAAGTCTCATTTGGCACTAATCTATGGTTCTAAAACACTGAATATACAGGAAAGGTATTCACATCTCATACATAAGTAAACCGTGTACTTGTACCAGTAAACTGTAAACTTCTCAGGGAGATTTTGAACAGTGAGAAATTCCCCACTCCTTATTCTGCACAGATTAAAACTGAAATGTGCCCTGCCCCGACCTAAATAGACTAGATTGGAGGTTGAATGACAGGAGAGCATCTGACCAATAATGTCAGTTGGGAAAACAAAAAAAAGAAAACTGTGGAAAGGCTATAGTGTGTGCAATTGGGCAATTCCCCCCTCCCCTCCCACAAGAAATAATGACCCCTCCCAAAATGGAGTTTTGGGAGAGGGACTCTGATATTTCTTGCACATTTGAGTCAAATTCAGTGAATTGTTTTGGCAGAAAAATTATGGCAGAAAGATTTTTTAAAATGTGACAACTTTTCATTTTGACATTTGCCAAAGAATTGTTTTATTTTAGAAAAGCTGAAAGGTTTTATTTCAACATTTGCTTAACAAGCCTTGGCAAAGGTTGAATTTGAAATGTCACTTTTTATTTGAAAATTGAGCTAAATTTAAGAAAGAAAAAGGGGGGAAAGAAAAAAGGGTGTTAACCTGAAAAACAGGAAAAAATGTTTTAATTGAAACAGAATTTTTCAGTTTTTTTCATTTGTGAGAAATCCTGAAAAAAAAATCTATTTCAGTTTGATCTAAACCAACTCCCCCCCGACAAATATTCAGTTCAGCTTGAACCAAAATCCATTATCCAGCTCACTCGAGAAGAGGTTCACTTAAGGAAAGAATGCCAAGGCAGCATAATTTTTATCACAGCAAAATCAAGAAGCTGAAACATCAGATTCATCCAAAACAACTGTGAATTGTTTCATTTTTGCTGACTGCTGGAAAATAAAAAACCCTGGCCTAAACTGCTCCTCCCCAGCTCAATTTGATGCTGTCTCATGCACACACGTAGACACTGAGCCTGGGAGTAGTTTACTGAGGCACAAATTACTTCACATTCACCTGTATTCTTTGCAGATCTCTAGGCATATGTACCAATGACAAACCATGATAAAGATGAATGGTTGTCCCTCAAATTTCAGAAATGGATAACTGAAATAAAAATGAAAGTTGTATTTTGTTAGCACAATTTTAAAAATATTCCTTAATGTAGGCATATATCATTTAAATGAAGACTCATTTTAATCCAAAATTATCTAGGTTCCTAATACAGTTGGAGGAAGTATACTTTTATTGTAAAAGTTTTGTACATCCAGAAATAAAGAATCAAAGAGGAATATTATAGAAAAAAGTGTTTACTGCATCCGGAAGGAATTCCACAGAACTAGGATGAATGCATCCCACCACATGAAGAGTCTTCATTTTGTTCATTTCGGTTTTGCCATAATCCACTGCATTCCACATTTGGGCATTGGTAGGTTGCTAGGTATGCTTGTTGGTACTTATGTCAGGTTGTGCAGGATATGAAACAGAATTTCTAGGCACCTATACACATGCATTGAGGCTGCTCTGATGTGCTGTAATTACAGTGTGTTGGAGCAGACTCAATTAATTGAGTCGACTCCAGTGTCACATGTCACATGCATCAGTGTCACATGTATCAACGTCCCCATGCTAAAAATGGCAGCAGGGGCACTTTAACTAAAACTTGTTGAACGAGCTTTAGATAAAGTGCCCTGCTGCCACTTTTCAGCTGATACACGTAACATTCTGGGCACTTCATTAGAACAGCTCTTGACGTCATTCTCCTTAAGGTGCAGCTGCCTCCCAGAGCACATGTATAAATTCCCTCTTTGTCTCCATAATAGCATCTGCAATATCCCAATCAGTGGATTTTTTTAATCAAAAAAGAAAAAAGACCTTTGGGGAAAGCAAACTATTTAAATTGTTGGCTAACTGGCTGATGGAATTGCAATACAACAACAGATCATGTTGTTAAAGCAAAACAGTAAAAAATAAACAAAAAACAGTTCTAAACAAAAGAATGAAAAGAGAAATAATGGAACTGGTGAATTTAAACAAGAAAATATAGTGAGGACACTTGTAAAAGATCTTAAGGAACATAATATTAACATTGGCATATAAATTGTGACGATAAAAATATAATAAGGTATGATGTTTTAAATGGATAAGTAGCTTATAAGGAGCCATGTGTGACAGCAAAACAGGGCAATTAACACTTGCCTATGACTGCCTAGAATAGGGTGAAGTGTTTTGGAACAGTGTTTTATGATCTGATGAAGCTCAGATTAATATACTGTACTTTTCCAGAAAGGTTTAAGAATGGTGGAAGAAAGGAGAGTGCTCAACAAAAACAAAACAATCTAGTGACTAGTATGTGCCAGAATAACAGAATAGTTTCCAAGTATTGGACAATGTATTTTGTAAAGTCACTGGTGCATTATGATTCATTAATGGAACAGAAGAAAGAATATCATCATAAAAACCATCTCCACTGTGAGGTGTAAATGATGTAACAATATCTTGAAACTTGGAATGTAGGGCACAAGGAATGTGGCTTCCTTCCACACAAAGGAAGAACATGAAGGATGCACCAAGAAGCCAGTCTGTGTGCACATCTGGAATGTTATCTGCAGTTGCTATTATTTTAGTAAATAATTGTCCAAATGAAGATCCAGTTTAAGTTTAGACACACGGAGACTTTTCATGTTATTATCTAAGCCATGATACAGAGTACAGAGAAAACACCCATCCAAACATATGCTTTGATTGTATTTGGGTTCAGCCATTGGTGCCTGGCAATCCATGCAGCTGCAACAGTACAAATCTTGATTATTGGAAAGGAAAATATAATTTATATTTGTCAAGCTTATCTCACTTGAAATGAGACTTTACCATATATAGCTGCTATATAGCTGCTGGTGCTGTATTAAAATTGAGAATTTAAAGCTGATGTTCATTAAACTTTCCATACCACATATACATGTAAGCAGGTAGCTGCATGATTTGGACTTTAGATTAAAGTTCTTTGGGCCACAAAAAGTGTTTTCCTCTCTGTCGAGCACAAAAAAATATTAATTCACTTCCTCTACAAATTCCTAGAGGGGAAACAAAGGTTGGTTGTGTGTCTTATGTACATATATTTCTTAGCACAACAGAACTCTAATCCAAGTCAGAGCTTCTAAGTACAAGAGGTACATACAACTGTATATGAGATCTTTCATAAGGAAAGGGGAAAGTAATGTCATTTAAATCTTTTGAAGATGATTTTAAAAAATGGTAACATTGAAAATTAAATGGCAAAACTGATTTTAAGCTACATATACAGGATTTAAGGCCCTGTTCTGCAAACTCTTATGCATGTGCTTAGCTTAAAATCAGTTTTGCTATATACATATCGCTGGTGCTGTATATGTATGATTTGATGAAATCAATCGAAATACCAATCAAAATGAATTCATGTATATTGTGATAAAGTGAATATACATCTGCTGCTTATTAGTAATATATCAGTAGTTGATTTTTAAAAATGAATAAAAGCATGTAAATGTGTAGAAAAATAAAAATGTAAAAAAGGCCTCAAAACAAACAAAAAAACCTAAAAAATTCATATGTGGTAAAGGAAGAAATACATTACATAAATGCTTTCTAAGATATATTTCCTTAAAACAACACCACTCCATAAAATGAACTCTGCCCGATGCAACAGATCTATCAAACGGGTAGCTTTTGTGCTGGAAGGTTCTACCTTTAACAGATTTCTACCTTCATGTAAAAGAGGAATTGATATTCAGCCCTCTTTCTGAAATGATATTAAGATTCAGATGCTGAGCGTGGCAATTGACTGAGAAGGTTTGCTGTATTCCAAGTAGCTCACTGCACCTGTTCACAATCGATTGCCTCATTATCATTTTGCACAGCAGGAGAGAACATGGCTAAATTCTACTGAGAAGAACACTGAAAATTCACTGGGCTTATTAATGCCCCTTGCATTTACAGTCCAATGTACTGTTTCACAGAAGTTGGGGAGCTTTATTTCTCTGTACTAGATGGTACAGCTTTGCAGCAGAAGATATGTAAGCTGCAGATACAGCTGGCAGTAATATGGTGCACACGATGCAACAGGGAAATAAAAAGCCAAGCTCATAATAATTTTTTTTTCAGATGGACAGGCTTGACAGAGTGAAATGATAGAATATCATGTGTGAAGAGGAGGAAAGGAGGCATGGCAGTCTACACATTGTATGAGAAAAACTACCACTATATTTTTCATATTCAGAAAAATTAAAGAGGCCTAGAACAACAGTATTTTAATTGTTTCTAGCCAGCTGGACTACATGCTGCAGTGTAGAGTACTTTAGTTCAGGCTCCACAGCTTAGACCTTATCTACACTAAGGGCCAGTCAGCAGCCACCATAGGTGACTGGTAGGAGAGGTACGGGGGGGGGGGGCATGTGTCCCTTTAACGGAGCCATTTCCCACCACCAACACTGCCAGACGTTTTGTGGGTGCTCCCCAGCCCCATCCCTGCCACTGATGTCACCGGCAGCTTCTGTGTGTGCTTGCCAGCCCCATCCCCACCACCACCACTTGCGCTTCTGCAGGTACTCACCAACCCCGTCCCTGCCACCAACACTGACACCAGCTTCTATGTGTGCCCCCCCCCAGACTTAGGAGGCACCAGTCACCCATGGCAGCCACCACAAGGAAGCTGCCAAAGTCCATATACACTCAGGTGGCTGCTGGCACATCTGCTTTGCTCCACTTCATCACTTATGCTGGCACAGCATGAAATGCACCCTGAGAAGGCACAAATCCTGATGGGATCTCAAGAACTGACAGAAGACATGTCTACACACATCTTCTTCCAGCTGGCAACAGGCCTTCTGTTGGGCTGAGAGATGTTGTTACTATGCCAGCAGAAGGTAGGGGTTCTCCTGCTGTATCACAGCAAGGGTGTGGATACCGTCTTGGTTGTTCCCCTGGCAAAACTGAAGTATACACCAAGCCTTAGTTCCTCAATTTCCAGGCAAACAAAGGCTAGAAGCACTGCAAAGAAAGCCTGCTCAATTGCTTCTGGGCTGCCAAAAGAGCCCTCCAATGTTCAAAAAGACTTTCTTATAGTTAATAGAAGTAGTAATTTTGAGCCATGTCCAGCTGTTGTCATTGTTAGTAAAGTTGTTGCAACCTAAAGTGGAAAATACAAAAGGCACTGAACAATTATTCAAGTATATAACTACTGCAGATTTATGCCAGCTTTTGCAACCTCTCTTACATTTCTTTTGACAGTCAATCTTGCCAGCAAGTTTCATACACAAGATATTTGCAGAAAATAAATAATTTGCAAATAGCCATTTAAATATATGATCACATGAACACACTCACCTGAAGCAATCTTGATTGGCAACCATTTACTCTGAGAGCAGAACCTCTAACATGTGACCAAGATGACCAATCATACATTATGAATGGCAAACAATGAACAGCAAATGCTCAGTGCAATCGTTGTGGCATAGAGTTTGCAAGTGGTGTATAGACTGGAATATATTTAGATAAATTATGCTTAAAATCATTCTGAATGATAAATTTATACAATTGTGAGGCAGCTCACAGCTAATTTGTAAATATGCAACTTTTTCTTTACCTAGATCTATCCATCTCAAACCAGTTCTGCTGTTCCTCTTAACCACTTGCTGCTTTCTCACACTTCCTCTCCAGGACCATCTCTTCATTGCTCCTGAAAACAGAAAGTTAACTGACGCTCCTCCCTTTCTAATGGCAAGCCATATGGACCAGCCACAACTCAACATATTATTATTGTCTTACCGGCCCTGAACATGGAGAACAATAGTATAAGGGATAAATCCAGGTTCTCTCATTATAACAGCTGCCTAGCAGCTTTTAGAAAATCATCTTTCATCTTGAGAAAATACCTGGAAAGTTAATACTTAGACCTATCTTGTTCCATTTTCTTTCAATTGTCACAGTATTTTCTGCACTAGATGTGACAGCAGTTGATGTCATAAAAGCATATATAGTAGTAAATCTCTGTCCGAGTAGTCCTCTAGTCCTATGCAAGGCATGTCAAGGATGATAAATGGAAGAAAGCTTATAAATGAGGACACACATTTTCTGGTCTTAATAAGAATGTCTAAAACATCAAAGAGCAGATGTTGCTGTGAGTTGCACTACGCTAGATTTCTAGTAACTGCCTCATTCCCTTCTGAATGGTAACTAGGGTGAGTACCATTGCTTTTTTTAACTAAAAGAGTTTAAAAGAGACAAGGAAAGTCTAACTTCTTCTCTAAAAGTCTGAAGCCTAATAACATTAAACAGTCTATTCATTCACTCTAGCAATAATACTTATTTTTATTTCTACTTTGACAAAGAAGTTGTTCAACTCACCATGTTTCTTGAAAAAAAAAAAATCAGTTAGTTAAAACCTTCACAAAGAAAACAAATATCTGCATTTGTTCAAGTTCTTACACTCCTTCCTCCTAGTTCACCCCTCACCTTAACTTTCCTCAGGTTTCCAGAACTGTGACTACTCCTGCTAATGATGTTTCCTATGTGCTTGCACAAGTTTAAATGAATATAAAAGCTAAGCTAACTTGTGCTTCAAAGATGAAAAGGCTGAGAATTTATGCTTGTCATGTGGAAAAAGGATAGTCTTAGAAAGGGAGAGGTTGCAAACAGCAAAAGTTAAAATAAAGAGAGTCTTTAAGACATACAGGAGTCAGGCCTGTTGTTTTCCCATCTGGGAAAATCCTTTCTAGAAAGCTGCAAGTCTTTTGACACAAACAGGCTATACTTTCAATACTAAGTTTTGCCATAATAGACGTGTCCACTTTCCATTAAGCAGACCAGAGAAAAAAACTTGTTTAAGCATCCAGAACCCTATGCCTGGTACTAATAATATGACCATCATTACTGTTGTGTCTAAGTACCCGTGGCATGGTTATCACCATTTTACAAGTAAGAAACTACAGCACAGGGGCTAGGGACAGACATTACACATAAACCAGTTTAAGTGATCAGAAACTGGCTTAAACGTGTAACAGAACAGATGTTCAGTGCACATAAACCAGTTTGAAAATGGCTGAAACTAGTTTGAGATAAACCTGGATGAATGTAGTATCAGACTTAACTGATTTGGGTCAAACCAGTTAATGCAATGTCCGTCCCAGACCCCTTGCTGGGTTAAGATAAACCAGACTCCCCCAGCATCCCAGCATGCTCTCTGGGCTGGGTGGGGCTCTTTGCTCCATAGCAGGGCTGGCCCCTCCCCTCTTCTCCCTGCTGCAGCTCAGGCAGAGACTGCAGGCAAAACAGGTTCTGCCTGGCTTCCCCCTGCCCTACCCCGCTACCTCACTGCTCAAGCAGGAATCCCCCCTTCCCACCCTCCCTCCCATCTCCCACAGCACAGATCAAGAA